CCATGGCTGGGGGGGGCGGGGAGGAGGTGGACTGTCACGGAGACTGCACTGGCTGGCAGGGGTGTCACAGCAGAGGGACGGAGGTGGAGAGGCTGCAGCCAGGTGTGGGGAGCAGGACGCACTCAGAGCCTGGGGGAGATAGGGGCAGGCCCTAGGGGCCATTGGATCCCAGACGCTCTGGCCAGCTAGCTGCCCACAGACAGGTGTGGCTCACGGGATAGGGGCAGGGCACAAGCTGCTGTGGCCTGCTGGGACTGCGTGACCCTGAGGTGGCCCGTCGGGACCTGAGGCTGCCCTCCCTCTGAGGGAGGCTGGGCTCTCACCGTGGGACCAGGTGCCCTGTCTGCAGGCTCCTGGGCAGGGGGGTTGACCTCGTGCTGTCCTTCCCTCCAAGACTGCCCAGGCCACTGCTGTGTAATGCGGGCCGAATGCGGCCTGGCCTCTCGGGAACGCTGCCTTTCCTACCACCGCGTTCTTAAACCCTTATGAACTGCCCACACGCACAGGGGTGTTCAAACCTGGGTTTTAGGGGCTTTCTCCCTCTGAATTCTGGGGTAACATGACGATTCTGGGCTAGTCTTACCCTGTTCTCAGGAGGGGCGTCTGCAGTGGGGAGGGCCCTGTGCTGGGCAGGGCGGGGGCGCTGAGGAGCACCCGTGTCTCTCCAAGGCTCCGCCACACCAGGGAGGCTGTGAAGGCTGCGCTGGCAGACGACTTTGACACACCTGCGGCGGTGGACGCGGTCATGGACCTCATCCACCGCGGGAACGGACAGCTGCAGGCACGCACTAAGGTAGCCCCAGCACACGGCCGTGGCGCTTTCCCTCGGCGGGAAGGCAGGGATGCCACCCTGCCGCCTCCTGGAGTGGCCCCCAGGCCTCCCCTGACTTCCGGGAGCTGCCCTGTCCTGCACGGGACCCGCCCTCCCAGAGCAGGGAGGTCGCACACACGGACAGGCAGCATCACGTGTTTGCTGATACAGGAAGTACCTCCTGATCCCCCCGTTTGCTCAGGGGAACTCGGGGGAACCCGAGTTTGATGGGATGTGAACTAGGACATTGGGGGAAGCTGTGTGTTGGGACCCCAACTGTGCCCACCCCACCCGGCCCATCTTTGGGCCTTGGCAGTAATCCCCTTGGTGAGGCTCTGTCCCCATAAGCTAGTGACCCCTCAAGGACCCACCTGCTGAGAGCATCACACCGGGGGTTAGGTTTCAACATCCAACTTTGGGGGACACAAGCATTCAGACCTACCAGATCCCTGTGTTACAGATGGGTAGACTGAGGTGCAGGGGTGACGTGGCTTCCCCGTCGTGCGGTGGGCTGGTGAGGGGCAGCTCTAGGACTGAGTCTAGAATGTCCTCCCGGCACGAGGACCTGAAGCCGGGACCGGCGGGGACCTTTCAGGTCTCTGTTCCACGTCACTTCCTGTGCTTTGAAAGCGCCCCTTTTGGGTGATCTGCCCCAGGAGCCCAGTGGTCCCAGGAGTCCTGCCGTGTTCGGCTCCATCGTGTCCTACATTGAACACTTCTTCGAGACCGTCGGGATCTCTCTGGCGGACAGACAGGTACACCTTTCTCTTTTCAGGCCTCACTTGTAGGATTAGGACTATGTGCAGGAACCACTGACTTTTCCCCTTTTAAAATGTTCATTTCAGTGGATAATCGTGTTGAATTTATTTACGTGCTTAAAACACATTCTTTAAAAAGAAAAGAGGCTTAGAGCTAGTATCTTCCTTCTGGAAGCCGCCGGAAGCCCACGCGGAACCAGCAGCCCATTGGCTGCAGACTGCCTGCTGTCACTTCTGCACGCGTGCTCCTGTGTGGTGTTGACTTTGTAAGACTCAAAACGCAGGTAGTTGCACAGAGGACGTTTTTCCTGAGCCTTCTGAGAGTAAGCTGCCGGCCGAGCCCCTTGGTGTCTCCTGCCCCCCTCCCCTGCCTCCCCCCTGCCCCCCCCCAGCCTCCTCCTCAGGCAGCCTTCCGCACACACCCCCTCCAGGGCCCCACCTCCATGGCACCCTCCCCACGCTCTCCTGCCTGATGGCTTCAGGACTGCGAGACCAAGGGAAGGAGGGGAAAGGTCAGGGCTGCAGACAGGTGTGACCGTCACACGCGTGCTGGGATCTCTCTTCTCAGATTGTGCTGTTGAGTAGTAAGAAGGCTGCCCGGCCTGGCCCTCATCAGAAAGTGCTCCCTCACCTTCCCCACCTCGGCAGCTGATACCGGCTCCCACTTAGGGCTCACGTTTTTGTAGTCGGAAAATCGTCTTTTACTGCAGAAGCAGTAACTGAGGATAGTATAGGTTCCAGAAGCTTGATCCCACAGTTGTGAAATGTGTAATTCACACATGTGAACAGTTGCTAGGATCCCCTCCCATAAGGAAGAAGCTGTGTCGGGGGGAGACAACTTCTGGCAGCTTCAGATGCATGCGACCTGCTGAAATTTCTCCCCCGGGCGCGGGGAGTGTTGGCCAGTGTGGGAACCACGTGTGAGGTTTATGCAGTTTTGAGTATCTGGTTAGAGGGAACAGATTCGGTTCCATTAGTCAGTATGGTGTGGACTTTCCGACTCTTGGTAATCACGTCTATGCACTTGCAGCTCCTGGCCCGGCCGCCTGGCCTCCCGGGGACCCCTCCCTCCCAAGGACGTGGGTGGCAACGGGGAGCTCTGCCTGGTGACCCAGGCGTGCAGGCCAGGAGTGTGGAGAGGGGCCAAGGGCCCAGCCCAGGGAGGACGTGCTGCGCCCCCCACCCCAGGCACGGCCGCTTCCCGGCCTCACTAACCACGCCGCTCCCCTGGGTATAGTTCGTTCCAGGCGACAGTAGCCAGGCCACTCTCCACAGCGTGGTGGAGGAGCTGGTCCGGTTCCGGCTCAAGGTCCGGCAGTTCGCGCTGGCCAGCGGAAAGGCCACCGGGGAGGCCCAGCGGCAGCAGCGGCTGGACAGGCAGCCCCTGCTGGAAGCGTGTGACGCTCTGCGCCAGGACCTCACCGCCCACGGTATCAGCATTAAGGTGAGCCACCGCAGCCGGGGGCACCGTCACCCCGAGGGCCTCTGTAAACCAGGTGGGGGCACGCAGATGCGGAGTGGTCCAAGCCAGAGCCCGCTGGGCTGATGGCGCTCGTGAGCAGAGGACCACCTCTCCCCCCGCCCCAGTGACACAAGGGACCCATGGGAATATGTACTGGGGAGGGGATGCTGCGGCTGGGGACGGATGCAGGAGCAGGCCCAGGTGGCCTAGGCCCGTGGAAGCAGTGGGGTGGCAGTGAGCCCTGCGTCGCCCCCTCACGCCATGAGCTGAGGGAGTCCGCTCAGCCAGAACCTTCTTCCTCTGCAGGACAGGAGCAGCACATCCACGTGGGAGCTGCTGGGTCAGGACCACAGACCAGGGAGCTGAGGGCTCCCGACACAGTTCTGTAAAAGCTTTAAAGTTTCCTATTGTAGCTGTTCAGTGAACATGGAAGTAAATCAGTGACACCGTATGCCTGAAATGTGCATTCTTCATGGTGCCGATGGACAGGGGCAGTTCTCAAACCTCCTTGGCAACACTGGTCCTTGACGCTGGCCCTGTGCCCCCGGGTGACACCATGGCAGGACCCCACGAACCCTGGAGCCCTGACATCAGGACGCAGGTCTCACAGGAGTCAGGACGGAGTGGCCTGCACCTTGAGCCCTGAGCAGTGCTGAACTAGGGGTGAGGACCCGTCCCTACATTCCCTTCTGGCTACACAAGTAACGTGTTAATCATAGGAAACCACATAACCACTCCCGCAGTCACTGCTGCATTCACTCTGACTGTGGTCTCTTCACGCTGCATGTAACCTTTTCAACCATGGTTCTCGTGTGCCATCCTTTGTGGCCTCTGAGCAGACATAATTGGGCAGTGCTCCAGGGGCCGATTCTGGAAGAGCCCGGATGCCAGGGTGAGAGGAAGTCACAGGTAGGAGAGAGCAGACTGCAGGGTGGGACATGGCCACGTGGCTCATGGCATGGCTGAGCGTGTGGTCTCCCTGCTTTCAGTCCGTCTCTTCCCGCCGCCACCCCCCCGCTGTCCCATACTGCCGAGCTGGCGTTTCCTGGGCCTGTGGGTGAGCACACGGCCACCTTCACTTCATCCCTGGCCTCCAGGATCCCAAAAGGCACCAGTGCCCCCCTTCTACCCATTCATAACTAGACTTGCCTACAGTGACCCAGCTCGTGCAAATATACCCCAGGCAGGTATGCCTCTTACAAGGATACCAGAGTCCCTTCAGTACCTGGGGGTCACATTGTCCCCTGACGGCCGGAGGCCGACCTCAGCCCCCCAAATGTGCTCTGTGTTGCTAGCCTGCTCTCGGGGAAAAGCACGTCCCTAGCTGGCGCTAGTAAGTTCAGACGGGTTTGTAAAAGCACAAGAAAGCAGTTAATTTTCATAACAGCCACTTGCCCCTAGCTACAGGAATTTTGAGCAAGAAGGTTTGTACTTAGAGCAAACCCATAAAAACCGTTGCTGTGACTACTACAGTTTATTTTCAGCAGAAGGAAAGGCCGAGCGCATTTTAACAACGTTGGCGACAGGCTTTTACATTTTCATCTCCCTGCCGTCTGTGTCCTCACCTAGGAAAGGCATCTGCTAAAAAAGGAATACAAAACCATACGTTGAAATAAACCAGATTTGCCTTTTAATAGTCACCAGGATTTAGATATGATTCCCCAAAACGAAGAACAGTGAAGTTTTTAAAGTTACACCTGAAACAAGGGGGGTGGGGAGGGAGAGACAGGTTTTTAAGAAATGTGGCTTTGAAGGAACCACATGGGTCACGAGCGACTGCCCAGGCATTACACAGACATCAACTTCTTGACCGGAATCTGCTCCTGAGAACACACCACCTCCAACCAGCAGGGCCCTGCTGTCTGACCGTGTTCAGTCCCCGTGCCCCGATGGGCCACGTCGGAGCCCCACCCACACGCTCAGGGCTCAGTGTCGTTTCCTCCAAAAACCAATCACTGATTGTTCTGAAATGCTTCCATCAGCCCAAGCCACCAATGCTTATTTCTGCCGGGTTTCAATGTAATCAGTGTTTAAAAAGCAAACGTGAACGAGAAAACAAAGGCCACGCCGCCACCCGGGGGGCCTCAATTTTAAAAAGCACAGCTCATCATCGTGCAGGTATTTGGACAGGACCCAGGGGATCCCCGTGGGGGGGGCATGTAGCACGGGGAGCTCCTCACAGAAACAGGAAGCAGGCCGAGTCCACAGCGCCAGCTCAGCGGCCGGGACCGTGTACGTCTTTCTCTCCATCACTGCTGAACAGCCAGGCAAGTTCAGAAATCCTGTTCAAGTCCCTGTAACACCTATAGCTACGTGTTAAGGCCAAAACCAACCTGTGGATCATGCTACTCTTGTACCCCAAGGACGGGGACCCATGACAAACGCAGCGTCCCCGTCTGTGGTGCGGCCTGCTTCCCGTTGCCTCGGCTCAGGTTTCAAAGAGTCTGCGGAACGCGGGCCCGACCTCCGCGATCATGTCGGTGGTGGTGGTGGAGCGGCCGTGCTTCTGGAAAGCCTGGTGGCCGCACTGGCGTGTGAGAGAGCATGCGCCCAGGGCGGCCAGGAGCAGAGGGCTGGACCTGGAGGGAGGACCGTCAGACAGGCTCCACTTTCCCTCTCACGTCCCCGACACCCCAAACAGGTTCAAGCCTGCCGGGCCCCTGAGGCAGAAGGCGGCTTTATGACCAGGGACACGGATACGCCCGGACACAATACCCACCTGCCTGGAGGATACACTGCAGCTTCCCCCTACAAAGCACGGCCTAGAGCGCCCTCGGTGCCAGGGTGCAAGGACGACTGAAGATCTGAGAACACGGGTCCTCGCCCCCGTCTGACACCAGACCCCTGTGCGGCACCCGCGCGGTCCCTGCCCACCAGCAGTGCCACCACCCTGCAGGTCCCATATAGCTTCATGGGTGTCGAGGGGGCCTCCAGACCCGGGACATCCCGCCCCGGCCCATGTGGCCACCAGTGTCACATGATGCGTGTGGAGGACGGGAACTGCCTGAGCTCACAGTTCCGACCGGGAATGTGAACCAAGCCTGCATCTCCCAGTCCTGCCACTCAGAGGAAACTACTCTCTCGGGACAGCGGGCACAGCCTTGGCCCCGCGTGTTGGTCCCACGCTTCTGCCGTACGAGGGGGTACACCTCGTACCCCCTGGAACAGGGTCCCGGGCATGGCCGCATGTTAGAATTAACTGGGGGGCTTTAAAAACTCCTGACACCTCGGAGCCATGGGCGACGAGCAACAGGGCAGGGCCCCAACCTCGCACGGAGCAGGAGCTGTGCGGGTGACCGACCTGGGACCCCCCCTGCCCTGGGGTCGCCTCCACGTGATCCCGGGCTTTCCCCTGCAACGTTCCAAGCGGCTATATGTATGAGCAAACGAAGTGGCTCACACGGCTGGGAACCGGAAGGACAAGGGAAGAAGACGTCACATACCCGTTTGTCTTCTCGGGGCCGGCGTGTAGCGCCCAGTGCACCAGGACACCCAGGGCGCCCGACAGCAGGTCTCCCTGGCCGCCACACCTGCGGCTGCTGCCTTCGTGAGCACACTCGAGCACTGCGGGGCAGGAGGGACAGGGCCGTCAGAGCAAGCTGGCCTGTGCCCAGGGCGCGATCTGGATCAGCTCCGGCCCTTCCCGTCTGCTCCTAATGAGGCGGTGTGTTTTAAGGAGAGCAAAGCCAGACGGGTCTGGAACCACCTGAGCCGCGCAGGTGGCGAGCAGACTCGTACAACTGGTAGGGCGCTGCCAGAACACATCGGAGAAGAGCACAGGTACACGGGGTGGCCAGGCTCATGGGCTCCGAGAGCCCAGGCCACCCAGGGACCGGCACCGCCTTCAGGGAGGTGTGTGCCACGCGAGTGCCCCCGGCACAGACCCAGCTGTGACCGTTTCGTTCACACTGTGTCACGAGCAGCTGTTTTGAAAATACAGATCTTGCAAACGGGTTATTTACAGCCTCTGAATGTGTCACACTCTAGAGCTCTCTCCAGCAATAAAAGCCCCAAGGGTGTCAGGGTCCCCCAGAGGACACTTGCTGTGTCTGTTGACCGCGGCCACGTGAGTGAGCACTCTCGGTGCACAAGGGTTTCTTCCCCTTACGGCAGGTGACAGTCCTGGGTCACGCTGTTACAGCCGGTGTGATCCCTGCCCCCCATCACGGTAAGTGAGCGGAGGACCGGCTTTCAGGGCACTAGGGAGGCGCTGCAGCCGCCAGAACCTTCCCCTGCTCGGCCCACTCAACAGCCCACAGGCCCCGGCGCAAGGACGAGGGGGACACAGCCCCTCCAGCACCTGGCAACCCCTTCCCCGGGGTCAGCTCCGAGCACCTCCTCACTCTCCCACTGTTTTCACAACAGAACAGAATGCGGTAGAATAGTCAAACTTGTCTATGACCCCGAAGGAGTGGGAGGCAGCAGGCCAGGGACCCCGGAGCACCCCCTGCTGACCGGACCGCGTCACCACCGCCCCTGGCGTCAGGGAGGGTGAACGCCCTGCATGCTCAGTCCCCTTTGCCAAACAGGAATAAAACTAAGCTCATCAGGAAGTCCCTCTGTGTGGAACATGTGTGGCACAAGGGACCGCATGTGCCACGGGGACGGGTCTTCCAGGGCCCAGGGCCCAGCATGGCCACCCGGGCTGACAGGCGTGAGGCCTACAGCTACCCACCGTGTTCACCATCAGACATCACGTCCCGCTCCCCTTTCCGGACCACGGTCACGTTCCCCAGGGCCTGGCTGAGTCTCCGTACGGCTTCACGATGATCACTGCCATCCACAAGGTCCCTAAGCTGCGAGGCGGGACATCACAGACAAGGCTGTCGGCGGACGCCAACGGCGGCACGAGCAGCACAAATACCGCCCTCCTGTCGACAAGGAACACCGCCCGTGGTGGAACTTTCAAGGCTCACAGAAGTGACACAGGCCTGAATGATGACGCGCTAACATTCATGGGGTGCTCAATATGGAAGAACTCGTGGGTTTACATCTGTTGTGTCATTTCGTCCTCACAGGCCCTACGAGGTGATGCCGTCATTACCCACATTCCACGGGCCAGGCAACGGGGGCAGGGATGGGCTGATCCACAGAGCACCCACCCACCTCTCATCCACCAAGAGACACGCTAGCGAGAAGACACCCCATCATCACACGCCCCGCCAGGAACCAACAGCACTGTTAGCATGTGGGGGAACACGCATCTACCCACTGACCATGTGCAGGGACAGGTGGGGGCAGAATCACAGCATCGCCCCACCCCGTCTTCGAGAGTGGAGAGGGGGGACCTCACACCCCATCTCAGGAGGGACTCAGGCTCACTCCCCGTCTCCTGGGAGGTCAGCAAACTCACCACGGCGTCAGAG